TGCAGACACTCTTGGATTCTTCGAGAGCTCTGCGAAGTTCGTTGATATTAAGCGCCCATTGGTTCTGTTCGTCCAAATAGTATGAAATCAAATTCATTCCCAATTCAGTCAAAGTCGCTGAATATAAGGGGTATTGAGGGATGGGAACCATAACACCGGTAGGAATGCCATCCTTTGACGACGAGTTTATGAAACCGAGGATAGCTTTGGCGCCTTCGGAAGCACCGGTAGTCAGCACTACGTTCTGCCAATCGCTCGCCAGACCATCCCTTTCCTCAATATATTCGGCGACATGTCTTCGTATGATCTCAACTCCTGTGGCCTCGGAATAGGCGCCGACAGATCTGCCGCCACAGCCATCGAGCAATTCATCCACTCTTTGCTTCACTTCTTTAGGAATATTAGGATTTGAGTGCATTTGCAGCGGATCTGCGGCTCCGGACAGCACTTGTCTGACAAACACCACAAACACTGGTTTACATGACTTTCACAAAAAGGACACCAAATTGTGGTTCACCTGAAGAAAGTGATGGGTTTCTGATCCATGGCATGACAGTCACCAATGTTTGCACGAATCACTTCATCGAAAGGCTTCTTCGCTCCCGATTTCAACTCTTTTTCCAATTGAAGAGCTCTTGAGAAGTAGAAATGATTAGTCAAGTGGATTGTCCTTGATCATGGCCTTAATTATCATTACCTCTGAGGAATAGGTCCTCTGACGGCGTATTCCATATGTCTGACCCTCTGATTGATTGAGTCCAATGTCAACACCGATGAAGAACTCATTCTTCTGGTTCTGTAACGAAATGATCGTTAAATTGAAGCCATTTTTAAGTGTAGATTAGGTTTTAGTATACAATTGCTGTAAATGTTTGCAAAATTGAATGCAATTTTGGTAATCATTATAATTATGTCCAAAATGTGTCCACTTTTTCAATACAATTGAATTCATTTTATATTATATTATAATTGATATTATATTCAATGAAAATAATAAATTCTAAACAAAATGAACATGGCAATTTTTATGTAACAAATTATGACAAATATCACAAAATGAATGGCATTTTATTGGATTGTTTTCAAAAACTTATAAATCAATTAAGAGATTCAAATAATGATAACATAATATGAATACTGTATTAATAAAACTTAAGTATCAATAATAGCATTGATATTAACGTTAATAAGTATTGAACTCAATATTCAATAATAAGTTCAGTTCTAATGAGAAGTTATGAAAACATTGAACGAATTCAAGTGTTCAATGGTTTGTGAATTTCGCGCAAACATTGAACTCAAACTTTGCTGAGGAATTGCTATCTCTTTGCTATTATATGATTGCTATGAAATCATTTAGTTATTATTCTCGAGTAGTCTTAACTCACACTTCAATTAATTGCCGTTTAAATCATTATTTTACAATTTGAGTGTATTTGCACTATATTAGACTGCATTAATTGCTTGAATACTTTACATTTAGGATCTGAATGATGGTTTCAATTGAATTATCATTAAATTTATTGTAACACATTCTTATGTGAAATTTTATTTTTTACAAAATAATCAATGTTTATAATTGAATAGCAAAACAAAATTATTCTATGTCATAAAATCTATGGTATTCATAATATGAATTTCATATACAGTATTTATATATAGAGTTGTTTCACTATAAAAGCATAGAATATTTTCATTTCATTCTTTTGTAATTGATTGAACCAGATGCAATATACAAAACACAATATTTGCAATTTTCAGTATAATATTACAGAA